TCTCAAGTCCTACTTTGTGCGGTTCTGTGGTGTTCGTAGCTTTAGTTGCTTCTTGTTTGTTTATTTCTTTTTCCACTTCTTCTCCCCATGAGGTGTATCCTTCTTTTTGGATTACTGGTGTTGGGGTGTCCTTGTTGTATGCTTGGTTTGTTGTTTCTTTAGGTGGGATGTCCAGGTTCACTCTGTTCAACATGTTTTGTGCTGGGATTTTTGTTGTTATCAGTGTTGGGAGTGCTGTGGGTTTCTTGGCGTATGGTTGGGTCCTGGCTGTGGTTAGTTCTCTAGTTCGCTTGTTATGTCTGGGCTGTCTTTCAATGGAAACTGGGTTGCTGGTCGAGGCCTTTGGACCTCTGTTGCTGCTTGACATCTTTTCCTTTGTCTGGGTGTTTACTGCGCCTCAGATGCGTGGGAAAGAGTTTTTGATTCAAGTTAAGTAAGTCTATTAAGAACTAAAACAAAAATAATTAAGAATCCAAGCAAGGGTACTATAGCTACAAGTGGTTCTTAGAATTGATAATAACAAATAACAGAGTAACTGGGATTGATCTCTATAATAATACTCTATAGATCTCAAATCATGAACAGCCACAAGATTATTAAATCTAAACCTAGCAAAAAGGTAGATTTAAACTGATAGCAGAACTTTCCACTCCTGAATTTGTTTCATCTGATGTATGGACCTATCTTCATGGTGTAAGTTTATATAATTGAGTAGATAGATAAGCTATTACTAGAAATAGTCAATAGGCAGTATTAATTATATATATAGAAAACATAAAAATATAAAAACTTTCAATTGTACATATTTCTATATATAGAGATGCTTGATGTTATATATAAATATTATATATCAATAAAGATTCACATTGATGCATATTTACCTTAAAAAAAAATAAAATAATAAAATAAAAAAATAAGATTCAAACTTGTTTTAAATATAAAATTAATATTTTTATTTTTAAACACCAGCTGAGCCTTGCTTTATTGACTTTTAAATACTTTATACATATCATGTTTTTTGTGTATTGTACATAGTTTACTATATGTGAATAAAGTTATATCTAAGTAACTTACATATCAGCTTGTTGCTGTCAGCTTGTCCAAAGACAGAGGCTTGAGCTAATGTGCCAAGGCTCCATTAACTTGTATATAATAGTTTTTTATTAAATGATTAAAGTTCATGTTGTGTTCCTGTTTGTTATTTTGTATTCTGTTGCTAATTAAGTACTCATGAATGTGTTTGGTTAGCTGTGTTCAGTCTTTTGGTTGGTTGGTTGTGTCTCTTTTTATGTCTTTCTTTTTCCTGTTTTGTTTATCACTTTGTGTGATCCCTTCTTGTTTTTTCCATTCTGTATTTTCTGTGCATCTTTGTTGCCATACTTTATATATGGTTGTTGTGACTCATCATTGTATTTTGGCTATGGTTCTTTTCCATTCTTCTTGTGTCCTTTGTTTTATTGTTTTGTAGAGGTTCTTTGTCATTACCCCCTTGACTATGTATTTGATGTTACTTTTGTTTGGCGGTAGTGCTTTTATGAGCTGTGTTTCTAGTTTCTCTGGTTGTTTTCCTTGTGATCTTGAGCTGATTTCTTGTAATGCTATTGATATGAATTCATTGTATATATCTTCTTCACTGTGTTCTGTGAAATAATGAGTGTTGTCTTCAAATTGGTTGCATCTGTGACAGTGGTTTGTCTTGTATGTATGTGGGTTGCATTTGTATAGATTATTTTTGGTTGGCAACTCATTGTTGAGGAGCTTATATTTGAATGCCCTTGTGTTGTGTTCTTCTTGTGACGTGATGTCTGCAGTGATCTTTGTTGGATGCTGATTCTCCCATGTTTCTTGCCATAATATTTGATCTTCTTCTTGTTTGTCCAGCCATTGTATGTGTCTGTATTGTATGCACCATTTGGCTATCCACTTTGCATTGGTAATGTTCTTGATGAATCTGGGGATATCTGTGTCTAGTGTGAACTCTTTCCATTGCATTGTTGTTATGTTGGTTGCTGTAAGGTCTTTGAGGTGTATAATATGTTGGCTGCTTCTTCCCTCTTTTGCTTCCTGATCTGCTTTGTCATTCATGGTGTTGTTGTTGTGTGCCTTGACTTTGGTGATGGTTGTGTTGCCTATTCTCTTATTGATCTGTGATTGGATTTGTGCAACTGTGAGGTGATTAGTTTGTTTTATTTGAATTATTTTGTTTTTGCTGTTTTTTATTGTGTGTATAGCATGCTGCTATCCATATGGATGTTGACATTGGCTGTTGTTGGGATGAGTTCAATTGCTATAAGGATTGCCATCAGCTCTGCTTTTGTGGAAGATGGGAATTGTTCACATCTGGCATTGAATGTTGTTTCTTGTCCTGTGTTTCTGTTTTGTATAATGATGCCTATACCCATTTTCACGTTGTTGTCATCTGTTGGATCCATAGAGCCATCTGTGTACATGTTGATGTCACTCCATTGTTCTGTAAGCCTCTTTATTTCTTTGATTTTTTCTTTTCTTGTTTGATTTGCTGTGATAGGGCTGTTGCTTATGTTGTCGTCTATTGTTATTATTGGTAAGGGGTCTGTTTGTTGTTTGTTGATCTCTCTAATATGTGTGAGGTTGTTGTGTATTGAGTTGGGGGATTGCTGTATGCACATTAGTTAACCTGTTATGTAGCTGTTGATTTTGGAACTGTTATTTGTTTTCTTGGCTGGTAGGGGAATGCATTTGTTTGCTGCTAGTTTTCTGGAGCATCCTGTTTTGCTACCTCATGTATTTAAGTTGCATCCTGTGCATTTTTCGATAGGTAAGTCTCCTGCTATTTGGATGAAGTGTGTTGCTGTGATGTGGTTGTTATTTGGTTGGTGTTTTGTTATTCTTTTGCCTATGTATATCTGTCCATCTATACTTGTGGCTAGGTATTCTCCTTTGTTTATTGTTGTGTTGGTGGATATTCTATGTTGTGTTAGCAAGTTTGTTGACAGGTTGGGAATGGTAATTCTCCTGTCATTTGTGATTATGTTTTCTTGTGCAAGAAAATTTGTCAGCTGGTTGAACCATTTGGGATGTCTGCCAACATGCTTGACTTTTTCTTGTGCTTTGAATTGTGTCCATGTAATCATGTGTATTGTGTTGTGTTTGTCACTTGTTCAATAAACATAAGTTTGTGTTTTTTAAGTGACCCTCTATTTTTGATGTACCATTGTTGTGATGTGTATTCTTCGATGGGATGTAGCAGAGGGTTCCTTGGTGTTTGCAGGGCTGTGTTACTAGGTGTTATGTGTATGTTATTTTCTTTGAATAATGACAATAACTTGCTGATGAAATTGTTGTTAAGGTTTTTAAGATCATTTGTTGTTTTGACTATAACTGGTTGTGTACTCCATACTTGCTCTTGCAAGCTTTGCAATCTTGCTCTTGTTATTTGTCCCATGATGTTGTTGCTGTTGATTTGGTTCATCCAAGTTTGTGTGTGTAGTTGAAGCATTTTATCATAAATGTGAAACACTTTGTATTCTGTATGAAGGTGAATTCCACTGTTAATACTTATACATGCTATGTTGATTTTATTTTTGATTATTGCTATAATTTTTCTGTTTATTTGTTGGCATTCTGTTTCACTCAGTATGATGTTTTGGAGCAGATATTCTATCACTGGCATTAGGACTTGATTGAGAATATATCTGCATTGTTTGTCTGTAATGTGCTTTCTTTTGAGTGTTTTGGTGGTATAGTTGATTTTATCTTGAACGATCTGCTTTTGGTGAGTTGTTTTTCCTGATTGTGTGATGTATACTCCTAGGATTCAAATTGGTTTGTCTTTCTGTGTTTTGGTGATCTTGTGATTGCTGGACTCCAAAGTCACTTCTTTTGTGTTGTTGACTGTCAGTAATGTTGACATATCAGGGTTGAGTTTCAGATTTGTGAACTGAGCAAATGTATCTGTGATGTTTTGTATTTTTTGTACATTGTTCTTGTTCGTTGTGATCCATGTTGCATCATCCATATATGTCACCACAGGTATTTGGACTTGAGGGTCTCTGATTGTTTCTAGCCATTGGTTGTGTGTTGTGTTGTATAGCTTTGTATCCTATTTTGAGTTCACTTATTTTTTTGATCAAGGGATCATAGTATATGCACCAGAGCAGTGGAGAAATTGTATCACCTTGGTCTATGCCGTTGGTTGGTGAATATTCATCTGTTAACCCATGACATGTAATTACTCTGTTTTTGTAATTTGTATTAAGGTTCAGTATAATCTTGATCACTTTTTCTGAAGTTTTGATTCTTTGCAATGCTTTTTCCAAGATGCTGTGTTTGATTGAGTCATATGCTTTGCTGATGTCTTGGTTGATTAGCTAGCATTCCTTTTGGTTTTGTCTTGCATCTTCCAAAATATAATTTATTATTGAGAGTGATTCATTTGTGCCACCTCCTGGCAGGCCTGCCCAGTTGAGAGGTGAGAGAATTGGGTGTTGAGTTAGGACCTTTGCAAGCCTATTATTGATGATTTTTGTAAAGATCTTTTTGATTGTTTCCATTAGGACGATTGGGCAGGTGTGATTGAGGTCATGTTGCCAGTCTGTTTTCTTGGGGATTGGGTATACCAGGTTGTGTTGCCACTGTGTTGGGATTGAAGTTGTATTCAGGATTTTGTTGAAGATGTGTGTTATTCTTTGTATAGTTTTGTCTCCCAAATGTTTAAGTATGTCATAGTTTATTGCTGATGGACCGTGAACTGAGTTTTTACTTGTTTTGGCAATGGTTTTTCTGATCTCTGATGGTTGTATTTTTTGTAGTACTGCTGTGTACCAGCCTTCTTGTATATTGTCCCTTCTTTTTGCCATTCTATGGGGATTTGTGACATGTTGTGGTGTACTGGTTGGTGACTAAAATGTTTTTTTGCCAGTTTTTTGATTTCTTTTGGTTCTGTAATGATGGTTGTTTCTGGATTTTTAATGACAATTGTGTTTATTTCAATTGTTTTGTGTTCTCATGATAGTATGCTGTTAATCATTTTCTGAGTATTGATCCATTCTTTTTTGGGTTGCTTCTTTAATTTGAGTGTTGATGTTGTTTTGTAGTTCTTGGTTGGTTGTCTTCTTTATTGCTTGCCAGAGATCTTTTACTTCTTCCAGCCATCCTGTTTTTTGGTTGATGCTTTCCTGGAAAGGGAAGTTTGTTATGGGTGTGTTTTGTTTTTGTAGGAATTTTGTTATTTTGTTGATTTTATTCACTATTGTATTCGATTTTCTCTTTCTTTTGGTGTATGTTTTGGCTAGGTGTACAAGTTTCCCAAGGTTGTAAACTGAGCTGATATTTCAGTTAAGATTGTGTGATTGGGAGTAGTTTTTTTTTTGCTTGTGTATGGGAATCTTTTTTGGATTTGCTTTCCTGACATATCTTTTTGCTATTGTACAGATACTATTCCAGGTGATGTTCCAGAGTCTTTCTTCTTGCCATTCTATTTCCTTGTCCAGGTTCTCTTAAAATAGCTTCCATTGCTTTGCCTTTGTTACTTTAGTGTTGAATGCATTTGTTTTGAGAGATGTGTTGTGTGGTATTATTTAATCATCTCCTATAGGTATGTGTATTGTGCATGTAGTGATATTGTGGTCACTATTGGAAATAAATTCTGATGGTATAATATGTGCCTCCAGTGTGAATCAGTTTGGATTTGGAGACAACCAAATGTAATCAATTCATGTTGCAGCTCTATTATTATTTTGCCATGTGTATTCTTTTTTGGATGGATGGTGAAATCTGTATGTGTCTATGTGGCCCAGTTGTGTGAGTGTATGAAGGATTGAGTTTGTGGGTCATGTTTTGCAGTTGGCTTTTGAGTGATGGAGTTTGTCGAGTTTTGAATTTGCTAATCCATTAAAGTCTCCCAGTGTAATGGTGAGGAAGTCTTTGTTGTTTTTTTTCCAGATTTTTTGGTTTGTCCAACTTAAAAATTGTTTGCAGTTACTGTTGAGAGATGCTGAAACATATATTCCAATGATAATGACTTTGTTGTTGTTTTTGTAATATAGATCTATACAGATGCCTCTTCCTGGAAATTTGTCTACACCACCTATATGTTGTGCGATTTCTGTTTTGAGCATAATAATAATTCCTGCTTCTTTGTTGTCTTCTGATGAAAAGCTTTGGTATCCTGGAACCTTCCAATGCTTGCTGGAGTCATTTGTGATTTGTGTTTCTGTTATTACGGCTATGTCCACCTTGTTGTTTGTACAGTATTTTTGCCATAGCACTTTTTTAAGGGGGTTGTTGAATCCTCTTGTATTGTGTATTACTATGTGCCATTTGTGCTGTGTGTTGTTGCTGATGTTCTCTAATGTTGCTTTGCTGTTATTTGGTTTCTTGTGTTTTGTGTAGTTTGGTGTGTATTTGGTTGGTTTTCTTTCTGTGTTATTGTTGCCATATCTTCTTGTGATGTTTCTGAGTCTGACCATGGAAAGGTGTTCATTGCTTGAACTGTTTTCTTGAGCTGTAGAGATATCACTGGTTGTATTTCTTATCCGATTTGTGTGATCGGGTAGGATTCTGGTGAAGGTATCCATTGTTGCTACGATCTGATTCATACTGTTTTGCATTCCATATAGGGAGGCAAACAGTTGTATTTGGTGGCTTCTGATATCATTCATGTTGTTTTCTTGTGTTTCTCAAGGTTGCTGTTGGTTGGTTGTATCACTTTTTTCTTCATTGATCTGTTCACTTTCCATAGATTCATAATATTCTTCATTGTGGAACTCGAGGTTTGTGATGCATTCGTCTAGTTCTGTGATTTTTCCTTTATCTCTCCTAGTTCTCTTTGGATTTGTCTTAGGAGATTTGCAATTTCTGTCAGGGATTGTGGATTCTCTTCTCTTTTTTGTGTTTGGGTTTTGACTGCAGCTGCATAGGATCCTGCTCTGCTTTGTCCATCTGGGCTTGATTTGTTGACGTTGTGAATTGTGCCTGTTTTGGCTGGTCTGAATTTGTTGTAAAGTGTTTCAAATTTAGATGCTTGTTCTTGTTGATATTCCTGCCATTGTTGGTGGCAAAGCTTGATTGGGCAATCTTTGATGATGTGGTTCTCAGAGTTACAGATTGCACAAAGTTTGGTTATAATTGGTGTGAAGGTAATATCTGTTTCTCCAAGGGTATATGTTTCTTGTACTGCTTCCAACAGGTCTTCTTGGATTGCAAAGCTTATAACTACAAATCTTTTAGATTTGTATACTGTTGTTGCTGCTCTGGGGATGTAACATGTTTGTCCCTTGAATTGTGTGAGAATATTCTTGAGGTCCCATGCTGATGTGTTTGGGGGTAGATTGATTAGTTTGGCTGCGATCTCAAGTCTTGCCCTCATTTTGTCTAGTGACCATTCTGCATTATTGATTCTGACCGAGTCTCCCCTAATTAGGATACTCCTTTGGTTGATTAATTTGTCCTTGACTGATTTGTCTGTGAAGGTTATTGTGGCACATTGCCATAGGTTCTGGGTACTCATAGTGATTCCTTGGATTTCTCCATACTTGGAAAAGACCAGTTTCACTTCAATGAGTTTTGTGTTCAATGGAATGTTCCACACAACTATGGAGTTTCCTTTGTTGAGTTCTTGGTATCTGATTTCCATATGTGCTAACTTGTGTTCATCCATATCTGGAAGTGTGATTGTGGTTGCATGTTCGGCTGCCTGTTGATCTAAAAAAATGGTGATGATTTTCATTTCTTCATTTCTTCCTTTACTGCGAACTGTAAGAAGTCCTTCAGGTGAGTCCAGGGCAAGGATAATGTGTTCAATCTTCTGGTTGATGGTTTTTCCCTTGACTAGTTTGGCGGCGATGCCTACTTTGTATCTTTCTCTCCCATATCTTGCAGCTCTATCAAATGGGGATCTGGGTCTTGGTTTGATCAAAGGTCTGATTTGTTTACCTTTCTAGTCTAATGTAAACCATTCTCGCTCAGCAGTTTTCTCTTGATTGAGTTCTGCTTCAGACAGCATCTCCTTATCACTGTTATCTATTCTGACATAACTGGGTGGTCCTACTGCTTGTTGTTGCTTCTTGCTCTCAGGTCTTGCTTTGTGTGGTTCTGTGGTGTTTGTAGCTTGAGTTGCTTCTTGTTTGTTTATTTCTTTTTCCACTTCTTCTTCCCATGAAGTATATCCTTCTTCTTGAATCACTATTGTTAAGGTGTCCTTGTTGTATGCTTGGTTTGTTGTTTCTTTAGGTGGAATGTCCTGGTTCACTCTGTTCAACATGTTTTGTACTGGGTTTTTTGTTGTTATCTGTGTTGGAAGTGCTGTGGGTTTCTTGACATATGATTGGATCCTGACTATGGTTGGTTCTCTAGTTCACTTGTCATGTCTAAGCTGTCTTTCAATGGAGTTTGGGTTGCTGGTTGAGGTCTTTCGACCTTTGTTGCTGCTTGACATCTTTTTTTTCGTTTGGATGATTACTGTGCTCCCTAAATGTTGTTTATGTTATGATATTGTTTTGATTTGTTACAGTACAGTAAAAAGTCTTGATACACTTTTGGCTTTATGTTAGTAATAAGGTTGCCTGGTTTATCAAATATAATCTAGAAAATACAAAGTTCTACTAATATCTATAGAGGTATCTAACTTGATACATAACTGGTTGACAGCTTGTAAAGTGTGATGTTAACTTCTTTTTTATTTAATTATTTATTTTTATTTTTTTTATTTTTAAACACCAGCTGGGCCTTGCTTTATTGACTTTTAAATACTTTATATACAGTATATCACATTTTTGTGTATTGTACATAGTTTACTATATGTGAATAAAGTTATATCTAAGTAACTTACATATTGGCTTATTGCTGTCAGCTTGTCCAAAGACAGAGGCTTGAGCTAACATGCCAAGGCTCCATTAGCTTGTATATAAAAGTTTTTAATTGCATGACTAAAGTTAGTGTTGTGTTCTTGTTTGTTATTTTGTATTCTGTTGCTAATTAAGTATTCGTAAATACTTTTGATTAGCTGTGTCCTGTCTTTTGGTTGGTTGTTTGTTGTGCTCCTTGTATCTTTCTTTTTCCTATTTCGTTTGTCCCTTTGTGTGATTCCTTCCTGTTTTTCCCATTCTGCATTTTCTGTACATCTTTGTTGCCATGCTTTGTATATAATTGTTGTGATTTGCTGTTGTATTTTGGCCATGGCTTTTCTCCATTCTTCTTGTGTCCTTTGTTTTATTGTTTTGTAGAGGTTCTTTGTTATTACCCCTTTGACTATGTATTCGATGTT